ATGGAAAAGCAGGAACAAGGAAAGGCAGACCTGGTTGCTGACTAATGATCATGGAAAACAAGGAGCAGTTTGCCTTTGCAGTCACTCTGGATCGTCTTTGCTCATTAAAATGAAATCATCAGTCCTAAATTGTATTGGCATTAGTCTTCCCTTAATATCATTCTTCCTTGGATGGTTCCTTTGATGAAGTTTTCATTTGATAAAGGATTTGCGTTCTCTGTTCCGAGTTGAATGTTTTGAGTTATAGTACATCCTATGTGAATTGCCAGGCGATGCCGCCGGTTGTTATATAAACGTTATAAGCATTCGGTTGAGTATAACCTGAGGTAATCGAAGAAGAAGAAGATAGGCACACATAATTAAACAAAATGACAAAAAATACCAGAAGCATTGAGGTTAAATAATGCAACCACATGCTTTATGTTAGAGAAACGTAAAGTCTTAACTAGCCTGTTTAGCTTTGCTGTATTCGGTTGTTTTTTAATTTTGTTTTTTAAAATTTATTTTTAATATTAACATATTAATTCTCAAAATAAAAAATCAGTAAAAAAATTATTGTTTTACAAAATAGCTATGTGGCATCAATAACAAACAGTCTCGAAAAGTCTCAAATACAAAGCCGCATGCATGTGCATAACAACTTATAATAAATTTTATTTAGTTTAGTTATTCATGTTTTAATTTTATTTTTTAAATATCACTAATTTAAATGTTATAAATGTTATAAGTTTCAGTATCGTTATAGGTTTATCTAATTATTAATTTTAATAATTAAAAAATTAATCAAAATATAAATAAACTAGTTTAGATATCCATAATTATATAAAAAAAAAAACAAGAAGAAAAGAAAAAAAGAGCTCCAGATTTTTTGATCGTGCATTCTCATTTCACTTTGAATTCCAGTGAAATTGTTATTTTCGTTTGGAAAAAAAAACTTGTTTAACTTTGTCTCGGGTGTAGAAAGGTGTTTTCAATGGGATTTATTATTAGTTTTATTAGGGAGAAGTTAGTTTCTTTGCGTTTTAAATAAAGAGTAATGATTTAAACACTTTTAAAAGTAAGAAAAATTAAAAGTAGTAGGAATAGTTTTATAGTAAAAGAATCATATTGTCCTTTAAAAAATATATGATAAAACTTGTATTTAGAGGCATTTAGGTTTTTTTAACATGATTATTTTGTAATTATGTATTTGAATTAAAAACAATTAAGTCTTTATATATATATATATATATATATATATATATTAAAAATGATTGATGCATGTCACACAAACATGCATGCCTCTCCTACCAATGATTAAAAATTTATATTAATAACAATGTTTGAAACGGTGAGTCATTCTTTTCTTGGTGGTGAAATACTTATTCGAGAATGAATTGTGGTTGAGTTCTTTATAAGTATTTTTAGTTTTTTAAATTTTCTCTCTCTTCAATTCTAGAAATGAACGCCAACTCTTTTAATTTTTTTTTTAATTTAGTTTTGTTAGATTTAATCTTTCAACGTTAAGGTATCAAGTCTTGAAATTTATATATTTTTTTTATATTTCTTTCTAAGAGTTTAACATGATGTCAAATATTAAATCTCAAAATCTTTTATTTTTTATGTATTTTAAAATTGATTTTTTTATTTCATAATTTAAAGTTATGTTATAAGACATTTAATTTTATTTAATTTTGTGATATATATATTGTTTATTTTTTTATTGTAAGTTATCAGTCAAATTAACCTGACTAGCTAAAAGTTGTATAAGAAGAGATGTGTAGGACAGGTGTAGGTCGGCTGATGCTGGCTATAAATAGCTATAAACACGTTTGCAGAAAAGAGTGCCGTGTGTTCTGGTAGTTCCAAAAAGAATCACATAAATAGTCGAGAAATTAAATACTTTAAAGTGGTTTTATGGAAACATGATTTTCTAAAAAAAATAAAATTGTTAAATGGCTTCACAATTTACGATGATGAGAGAAAAATAAAGTGAAGACTTTAATTATACACCAAATCTTCGATATACCATTTCTATCATAAAAAAACTCGACGATGTGAATGTAATAAAGTTAAAGAAGTTCACCAACCATATCCATAGTACAACAATCAGATTATGAAGCATATCTACTTTTCTGGCGCTGCCCTTCGACAATCAACGTTTTTCAAGGAAAACATGGTGAAATCTAGGGTTAAGATTAAGAAAGAAGATGGAAGGGAAGATGAAGATGAAGATGAAGATGAAGTGCAACAATCAGCTTAGCGAGAAGAACAAGCATCAAAATTCTGGATGGAGAAACTAATATCGTATTGTAATAAGAAGTTCCAGTTTTCCAGACTGCAACAGTAGAAATGACAAGGACACCTGCTAGGCTGCTAGGAAGGCCAGTAATCTGTCGTGAATTGAGGAAATTCAAGGATAGTGGCAGCGAGATTTAGCATGAAGCATTTAGCTTGTTCTCTCTATTGTAATTCATGTCGCTAGAGGTAATAGAATTGCACTTGTCTTGCCAGCATTTATAGAGATATGACATGGTTGAAAGGGAAGATCGCAGGGTCAAACTCGTTGGGGATTCCATGTTGCGGATTCCATAGGGAAAATATGATGGTTTAACAGTTAAGCTTTGGTCATCAATGCAATTAGTTCAGGCTGGGGTTTGGAAGACGTTCGGTGAACTGCGGCGGCCGGAACCTAATCTGATTAGGAATGGGTACCCTAGGTTGGTTCGGTGGAACAGATTGAAACATGAAGTTGAGAATTAATGTTTCGTTGGTTCTAGACTCTGATAAAGAGAGTTTTAGCTCTGGAAAACTGGGATTTCCTCAAGTTTTATGGAGAAAAAGAAACGTGGGCGACTGGTGGTTCTAGTTTGAATGACGAATTAATGGAATTTGCTCGATGCGTCTGGGGTTTCAATGCTGCGTGGAGTTGGCTGTTCAGAACAGTAGTTAACGGCATAGGGTTGCAATGCAATTCGGAACCGACGAAGACCTTTCATGTTGTGTTGGTCAATGCTCTAATTAACAGACCTGAGATTGCATAGAGCTTAAAGCTTTCGTTGAAGAGCTTGAGCAGATGATCACAGGAATAAAAGCAGCAAGATTAAGACTAAAATTGTTAACCTAGCTAGCCTTCTTCGTGAGAATGATTTGCTTGGTTTTATTTTATTTGAATTCATGGCTTCTCTTCTTCTGTTGGGTATGCTACTAACATGGTAGGAGGCATTGCAGCAGGTTCCTATATGGATAACTCCCACCATTGACAACAGATGCAAAACAAGGTTAAAAGGATAATAGAAATAAATATATTCATAACTATGGCATGAAGTTATTATCACAGTGTGCAGACAAATGCCGTGTGCTGCTGGAACCAACGCACAGTCTTCTAGGCGTTATCCGTTCTGCCCACCCAATCCTGACTAGATAAGCACTTGAGAGTTTTTTATTTATTTTATCCAGTTGATTTGAAGTGTTGTTTTTATCTAAATTTTTCTAAGAAAGATATATTTTTTTCT